CTGGGTTTTCAGGGGGCAGTGGCTCTCCCATCTCCACAGCTTCAGGACTGAGTGTAAACTAAAGCACCTCAGCAGGTCCTGTAGGGCAGGGGCACCTTTGGTGCTATCCATGGCATCTGAATAACATGGGAAGGTGTCTGGGAATGTTTTCCTTTTTCTGCAGTGCTGTTCCTTCTGGTTTGGGTTCATTATACACATCTGGAAAAGGCACTGGAGCTACAGATGTGCTGCACAGTGTAAAATTCAGAAACCAAAGCTGATGGTATCACATGAACCATGAAATGTTGCACTGGCAGGACAGAAGTGTTTCACTCATAGTTCTTTCACAGGGCATAAATCACTTTAATAGTTTCAAGTCATGGCTGGTAATTTTTTTCTATGGCAAATATTGGTACTCCCTTCCCTGCCAAATACTGCAGAGCTGTTACAGTGAGTATAAGCTATTAAAAAAAACCCAAAAAAGCCTCCTTGGACTCTTCTGTCTTCCCCCAGCATCTGCATATGCTTGGTTTTGAATTTCTTAGGTGCCTCTTCAGGTGGCAGAGTACAATGTTGGAATGAAAAGTCAACTGGATATGAGGAATTCCAATCTTGGAAGGTCCTTGCCATGACTAGAGGGATCTGAGGGCAGCTCTGCTTAGATGAGGCCAGTAGGAAGAAGTACAGTAAGACCACCAGAGAAATTTGACCTAGGGAAAATAATGCCTTATTTTGGAAAGTTTGGGGCTCTTCTGTAAAGCAGGCTGCTTGTTAAAGCTTCTCTGCTGTCTTCACACAGCTTTATTTACAGCTCTAAGTAAGGAAAGCAGCAGTTCTTGACTGGTATACACTGTACATCAACTTTGTTGCAAAGTGTGCTAACAAACTACCAGAATAGTTTTTAATCTGCAGATAATCTTACTGTCATTTATATTTTTGGGCTGTGTTACTTTGCCCAGCATAGGCACAGCCATTGGAATCTGTCCAGTTCACCTAACAACCTTCATTAAAGAAAATTGCCCTTGTAATAAAAATTACTCAGTGTGACAAGATTCCATAATATTTTTTTAAAGCTTCATTAAATTTTGTAGTAGTTAATGGCACTTGTTTGGTTTTGTTTTTTTTTTTTTTATTTTCTTTTAAAAGCAAAATTTGGCTTATTTGGGACAATATTTGAAATAGAATGAAATAACTATTTTCTATCTGGGTGCATAGAAGCCAGGCCATGTGACAGGAATAGCACAAGGATAAGGAAATTAAAAAAAATCTCTTTGAAAACCACATTTTACTGAGTTGTGAGGTTGCTCAGATGTCTGTGACTCTTCAGTTAGGCAAAGCAGATGCAATAAACTCTGCCCACTTGCAGTTCATGATAGAGAAGCCTTAATCTTACAAGATGCAGTGACCAAAGATGGATTTTTCTGCAGCAGGTGGGAGGAGCAGCTTAGCCGAGCATCACCCTGAGGACAGCCCTCAGCAGCTGTGTCCCCTGCAGCAGAGTGAGCTCACAGGTGCTGCTGGGGCACCTGCAGCTTCTCCTTGTTCTCCAGACCATCAGGGACAGCATTCCTGATGTGTGAGGCACTGCAGCAGTGCAGCAAACAGCAGGCTCCTCTCTGCAGGCGTGGAATGCTTTGGTATTTTCTTGCTATGGAAATGCAGTGAAGTGCTGAAGAAGCAAACCCAGCTTTTGGGAATGCAGTGAGAAGTCAGTGGATTGGGCTTTCTGCTGTTTCTTTCCAGAGTGTTTGCCTGAGAAAACTCCAAAAACTCCATGCCTCCAATGCCTTCCTTTCCTCATTACACTATAAAAATGGGGAAATCTCAATTTCTAGCTGCTTGTTCATCAATAGATACAAATCACCCTGTCCTCAGTCAGTGTAGCAGAGCTGCCATCATCCTCCTCACAGCTGATGTGGCCAAGTCCAGTGACTCTGTGTTCACCTTCTGGGTGTGTCAGAGCAGATCCCAGGGCACTGTTGTGTTTGGCAGCAGGCTGAGCATGCTGTGCTTGTGTCCCTGGAGGAGTCACTTCAGCTGCCCCAGGTGTCCCCACAGATGAAATTGCACCACAAACCAGAGCAGTTCAGAAAGGCAGGTGATGCTAAAATGGAAATGATGAACGCACATGTGGTAGGCAAACCTCTGGGATCTTTCATAGTCTCATTTTCTCATTTTAATCAAAATAAAGAGCTGAAGAAAGGCTCTTTATATTTTCCATTGGTTTGGAGCTGTGGATTTTTTAAGACTTTCCAGTGCTTTACAGATTTGGCTTGAATAATGTAAGTATTGTCTAGTCTGATCTTCCAAGTGTCTTCTGCTATTATCAATCTCTGGCTGTTGTTAGGGAAATCAGACTGAGAGTGTCTGTGTGACAGTTCCCTCCTTTATTATAACGAGCACCAGCAGCCACTCTGGTGTTTATCTTGTCTTGGGTACATTAAGTAAAGTCTGCATCCTGGTTTGGGCTTAGCTGATTTATGCTTGAAGTGAGGATTGTTTGTTCTCTGTGATGAAACAATCTTTTGTGACAAACTAACAATGGCAAGGGATGAGCTGTGATGTTAAACACTGGTAGCTTTTCTTTCTTTTTTATTTTTTTCCCTTCTCGTTTTAAGTCTACCCACTGCCTCAGGAGGAAGGCAGCTGCACTAATAATATGTCTAGTCTCTGTGGAAGGCCCTTATTTGAAAAATCTGTAATTGAGTGGACAGAATTTCTGGTTGCTTGAGAGGATCTATTCAGAAGAGACCTGAAAAGGATAAGGGAAAAGCACTCTAGACATCAAGAAGTCCTAAGGGCTCTATTGAGAGGGAAACCTATGTAGATACTGTGAGACAATTACACTTGTCAGGCAAAACACTAAAGTGGATCTGTGAAATAAAATCCTGGGGAATGTTAAGCAAAGCTTTGAACAGGGCAGAGAGCTTGCTGGGAATACCTCAAAAGCAGGGAGGTGTATTTGGGTGATGTTTGAAGGAAGGCACCTGATGGCTGCTTCAAAGAGCAGGCACAGAGTGTGTGTTAGCCCAGGGCTCCTGACCATTCTCACAGCTGCCAGGGCAGCACCAGGGGGACAGCTCATAACTAGGTTAAATTTATTTGCTCCTTTGCTCTTTTCAGTTGCAATGCCCAGCCTCCCTGGTGCCCTGATCAGGGACACTTTCCTGCTGCTGGCCTTTCCAGCCCCTGCCTTTCATTTCTGCTTTGGAAGCTGAGGAAGATGTGCTGTACAGAGTGGAGAGGATGTGTTCCTACAGAAGGCACATACCCTCACAGGGTTATTTGTTGCTAACTGCAGTGGGTGGTGTGGGGCATTAATGAACAATCTCTGGCACCCTCTGAATGGGCTTTGCTGTCAAAACTTCAGATGCCTGAAAGATCAACCCATTAGTGATGAGGCCAGCGTCAGCTCAGCCTATTTTTAGGTTTTTCTTTGCTGCTTCACTCTTTGATGTAAAGACAGCTGTGTTCCCCTCGCTCGTTATGCAGACCAAACTTTTTATCTCCACTTTGGAACAAGCTGTCCATTGTTTTGATCACTCAGTGATCTCTCTCTGCAGCTCTCCTGTTAGAATTCTTGTTAATCATGGTGACTGCCACTGTGTTAATTCAGATGTGGTTTCAGTCCACGTTCAGTTGTGTAAATATTTCCGTATTTTAATGCAGATCTCTGATAAGCATTTAAGGAAGCCATCCCCATACCCACTGTGGCTGTGCCTGCCTTGCAGCTTGGAGGGGTGTCTGACTTGGCTTTTCCCTGGCTTTTATTTATGCATGAGTAGATTGTTATGTTGTGTGTTTTGAAGAAACCACAGAGAACTTAAATGCTCTGAGTGTGGTTTACTTCTGAAAACCAATTCCCCTGTGTCTTTTCTAAATTACAGTGGTTTTCCACAAGTGTCCAAGAATCCTGGCTCAGCTGTCTTTTTATTCCTCTTTCTCTTCCTCTGCTTCTTTCTTTCTCATCCTATACTTTTTGTTCCTTTTTTTTTCCTCCTCTGTTTAATTGCTTCTAAAGTTTTGGAACATCTTCAAAAGATGCTTAGGCAAAAGTCTTGCTTAGGCAGTTATTTTTTGACCTTTAAAAGCAGTAAGCTTTATTTCCTTTTTCCTGTTACTGCATTTGTTACCTGTCACAGACATTTTATGAAAAATCCTTTTGTTAGGATTTTTCTCCTGAGAAGCTGAGGTGCCTCAGAAAGGAAATGTAAACAATAATTATCTGCTGCTGTGGAATGCAACAGGTGCATCTTTGATTGGTCTCATGTGGTTGTTTTTAATTAATGGCCAATCACAGTCCAGCTGTCTCGGACTCTCTGGTCAGTCAACAGATTTTCTTGTCATTCCTTTCTATTCCTTGCTAGCCTTCTGATGAAATCCTTTCTTCTATTCTTTCAGTATAGTTTTGTGACTGTGTTCACAGGGGTCCGAGGATGAGGGAAGAGACGAGGGAACATGACTCCATGTTTCAGAAGGCTTGATTTATTATTTTATGATATATATTATATTGAAACTATACTAAAAGAACAGAAGAAAGGATTTCATCAGAAGGTTAGCTAAGAATAGAAAAAGAAAGAATGATAACAAAGGCTTGTGTCTCGGACAGAGAGTCCGAGCCAGCTGGGCTGTGATTGGCCATTAATTAGAAACAACCACATGAGACCAATCACAGATGCACCTGTTGCATTCCACAGCAGCAGATAACCATTGGTTACATTTTGTTCCTGAGGCCTCTCCGCTTCTCAGGAGGAAAAATCCGCAGGAAAGGATTTTTCAGAAGATATCATGGCTACATAGTTTTAATATAATATAATATATATCATAAAATAATAAATCAGCCTTCTGAAACATGGAGTCCACATTCTCATCTCCTCCCTCGTCCTGAGAGCCCTGCGAACACCACCATAGTTACCTGCTGAGTCCACAGTTCCAAAATCCACCTCCCCCTGGTACAGCCAGAGCAGGTACACGTTTAGCCAGTTGTTTGTTGATGGTGCCAGTGTCTGCTTTGCCCCCAGAGCACCTGAAGAAGCGGCTGGAGGATTACATGGCGCAGTTCCCGCGCGTGCGCATCCTGCGCACCAAGAGGAGGGAGGGGCTGATCCGCACGCGCATGCTGGGGGCCTCGGTGGCCATCGGGGACGTCATCACCTTCCTGGACTCCCACTGCGAGGCCAATGTCAACTGGCTGCCACCTCTGCTCGGTGAGTCAGGGGCGCTGAAACTGTTCCCACCTGCTGCTTTCCCCTCCTGCTGTAGGTGGGTGAAAGAGAGGGGAGATAGCGTAAAGAGAGAGCAAACCAACCACAAGACTCAAGTGAATTGTTGGCAATTTGTAGTGTTCAGTACGAGATTTTTTTTCTGTTCTGGGGTCCTGCACTGTGCGGTAACCTTGTCATGTGGTTTTGTTAATTAAAGAGCAGAAATCGTTTTCTTCTGTTTCCTCATTAAATGAAATAATTTGCATCTTGCTAGAAGAGTAAACTATCGCATCAGCTTGCAGAGAGGAATGGCTTTATGATACAGAAGAGATTTTTACATACAGTTTTTGAGTAGCTTTTAAGGGTTTTATCTCCTATATAACTATATTTAACTTCATAGTCTGCAAGGCTGTGAAAAATACTTCTTGTGAATGAGAGCTGCTGGTGTGTATTTGTGGAACATGGGCACCCCTTTCCAAGGCAGCACTCCATCTTCGAGGAGGTGTCAGTTCCTTTCAAGGATGACTAATTGAAGGGACAGTGCCTTCTGTTTCTGGTACCTGCCTGCCTCCAGCCAGTACCAAACTCCTTCACAGCCCTGCTGCCAGTGACCTGTCAGAGCTCTCTGAGGTGTGACTTTCTCAAATAGGCTGTGGCAACAATAGTCAAGCAGAGGTTTAAGAAAGAGTCGGATTTTCCTGCAGGATTGATGGATGGTTATCCTGTTGCTTTCACTACAGTGTATATTTGGCAATAGTTTGAAACATTTGCAGCTTTATGAACCCCAGGGAGGGAGGACAGAATTAGCTCCAGTGCCATTTAAATGAGAACACAGAGAGGATGCTTTGATTTTTAAAGCACAGAAAGGATTTCTGTGAGATGTGTTTTGGAAGCTGAAACATCATTTTATCACCTCTGCTCTGAGAACTAACTTCCAACAAGAGACCATCTCAGTAACAAAGTATTTAAGGAATTTCAGATGTTTATGCAGGAATTTATCCTGTGTTGTATTATTTGGTTGGAAGAAAAGGTTGGAGGGAAAGAGGTAACACTTGCATTTCTTGAGCCTGCTGAGAGTACTTATGCCATTAGTCTGAAATGCTTCCTGCCAGATTCTGGTGTGGCAATTAGGGCTGGGTGGTGCAGTGGGTTATTCCCTGGATCTGGATCTGCACAGAAGGGGTTCACATCCTGGTCACTTGTGGAAATGAGGATTGCTCACTGAGTACAAGAAGTCTGGTTTTAGCCTGGCTAAAACTGTGGTAGTGTGGCTGTGTCTTCCCATTCTGCTTCTGGGTGATGGGTGCCTGGTGTTTTTCTCTCAGTGATTGCAGAAGGAGCAGATAAATTGATATAAATTGGAGCATCTGCTCACAAGAGAAGGAACAGGAAGAAAGCTGTGTCATTCTTGGACAACTTCATCTTTTGATGCTCTTTTTTTTGTAATTTCACAGTGAAAGGAACCAGCTGGTGCAGGTTTTCTAACGTGTTTCTCCCATCTTCAGATCGCATTGCCCGGAATCGCAAGACCATCGTCTGCCCAATGATTGATGTCATTGATCACGACCACTTTGGATACGAGACCCAGGCTGGAGATGCAATGCGAGGGGCATTTGACTGGGAGATGTATTACAAGAGGATCCCTATTCCTCCTGAGTTACAGAAACCTGATCCCAGTGATCCCTTTGAGTAAGTTACTGAGACTGCTAAGAGCCAGCTAATGAAATAACACCCTGCTGCAGGCTTGGTTTACACCTCAGCACAGCAAAAGCCAGGAGCTGGTGTTAAGCTACTTGCTTTTTTGGCAGCTGTTTGCTTTGCTGGTTTAAAAGAAATGCATTGTATAGTAGCTGTGAACACTCTCCTTTTCATTGCTGTTTTTTGCCACCTTAATTCCTGCAGAAGTTAACATTTCATTGAAAACTCTAATGTGTAACAATTAATGTGGTCATTTATTACTGAGATCTTTCAAACATAACTTAGTATCCCTACTGCTCTGCCAAAAACAACAAATCAATGGTGGGTTATGTGTCGTTCCCAGGTGGGGGAAGAAGAAAACTTAGCAGAATAATTACAGCAATTTTGATTATTACAGTGCACTGCAGAAGAAAATCTGTGATCAAGTTGTGCTCTGCTGTTGCTGTGCTTGCCAACATTGAGACAGTTCTGCTGTCCTTTATACTCTGCAGTGTTTAAAAAAAAAAAAAACCAACAAAACACTTTTTGAGGTCAAACTCAAAGACTCAGTCCTACCGCAGAAGCAGAGCATCAGCATACAGGTCCCTTGGGCTGAGGTGGTGTCCTGTCACTTAATAGTCAACTCCCTGCCTGCTTGGAGGAGAGGCATTGGCAGGTTCTGAAGGGAGCCTGGTCTGATCCTCCTCCTTTGCAAGTGGGAAATCAGTAGATAACCCCAAAACAGCTGTTTGATGTACTGACAGAGCTGTACAGGCACTGGGAACACTGGGGGGTGAAAAGAATATTTGTCAAATCTTGCTTTGTTTTTTAAATGTTTAGCTAGAGATCTGTGTCTTTGTAATGTGTTTGTAATATGGAGTCTGGTTTTTCCTTAAGGTCTCCTGTAATGGCTGGAGGACTGTTTGCAGTCGATAGAAAGTGGTTCTGGGAGCTGGGAGGGTATGATGCAGGTCTGGAGATATGGGGAGGAGAGCAGTATGAAATATCCTTTAAGGTGAGCCATGTTCTCTGGAAATTACTTTTGTTTTGAAAAGTAAGAATTTGTTCTGAGGTGCAGAATATGAATGATCTGTCTTGTCCTTGCTTTTACGTGTGACTAAAGGTGAAAGAGCTGGGAATAGAAAGATAGTGCCCAGAAGAATCAGCACTGATGTGAGCAGTGACTGTGAGGGTGAGTTTTGGAGCAGGATTAGCTGGGCTGTGCCTGTTCTGTGGTCACAGCTCTGGTGCAAGCACTCTTCCCAGCAAGGGTAAGTCAGCTGGTGTGGAGCTCTCTGCCTCTGGGGCTTCCAGGAGGATTCCAGTTCCAGAGGACCTCAGTGCTCAGTTTGAGTTCTCAGAGAGGAGAACAGCTTTGTCTGAACTCAATCCAGCTGACCCTGGCTGTGAGGAACTCAAGCTTACTTACCTGGGAAGAAATCTTCAACAACTGCAGTCATTACTGTTGCTGACAATGACTTTGGGTCATTATCTGCCTGGCCTGGGGACAGTTGTGCTACTAACTGATTGACTGAACTGGTCAGTGGAGGGCTTGAAGAGTTAGCCAGCTGACCAAAAATGCATACAAAGAATAACAAGTCACTGTAACCCACCAAGACTGCTGGCACCTGTGCTAGGTTGGAATATGGCACTCTGAAATCCAATTTGGGAAACCCACCAGAATGTCCCAAAGCCCTGAAGGCAGGTGCTCAGTCTTCTCTTCAGTGGGGGGAATCCTTCCCATAGCCTGGACCAAACTGAGTAAAGATATCTACATTAAACTCTGTTTGAGGTTTCTTTCAGAGGTTGAATATTTGATTTTACAGGTGTCTGCATGCCACTGGTCTAAGCTAGCTGACCTTAGCACGAGGCTAGAGGATAGCAGGGATGTGGTGCACAGTTTGGCTTCAGCAGCTAAAATTCTGCCTGTCTCTCCTGACAAGTCATGGCTGATATGACAGCCTTACAAAATCTTACACAGCAGATTCCAGAATCTCCATGCCTCTGTGCAGTTCAGAGAATATCAATCCTCAGCAAGGCACATTGCCATACACACACCCCATGTGCTACTGGGCAGCAAACTGGGAGAAAAGACACTGATTTTGGGACAGCCTTTTGTTCCATCATTTCCTCACCAGATCCCATCAGTCACCTTGGATGTCCCTTGTCCTCTGTAACAGTGGCAGGAAGGGAGGGCTTGGGGCACCCTCTCTGGGGGTGTCACTGTGGTTAGAGCCATTTCACCTTTGTGTTGCTTGTAATGAAATTGTGTAAGGCTCTCATTCTCTGCAGGAGGGGCAGCATTCAGGCTCTTCCTCTCTGAAAATTCTGGTTTCCAAGAGTGATGACAGTGGCTGGGCAAGCCCTTTGTCTCCAGTGCCACAGCAGACAGTCACACTGCTTGATCTGCAGGAAATAAGACTGCTTCATTCATCTGTTTGCTTATCCCCTCTGAAACATGCTGCGTTTTATTTCAGTCCAGAGATAGTAATTTATGGAGGGATAAATTTGCTTTAATTAATCTCTGCAAAGACCCCCTTTTTTCTTTCATTGTGCAACAGAAAAATGAAGTTTTCACTGAAAGAGGCTCAGTGTATTTTCAGAAATTAAGATAAATTGATACATTCATCTGTGGCTGATAGATTTAATAATTCTGCTGGAATTGCAAGAATAGAAGGTTTGTTCATAGAATTTATGAAGCTATGACATTTCCTGGTGAGCTTAGAGCTACGTTTTTACCTTTAGAAACAGACTGAGATTTTGTAGTTAAAGGTGCACTGTCAAATAATTTAAAGCTCTGGCTTTAGGTGTGGGGTGCCTGCTTTCACATTATCTCATGGGAATTCAGATTATAAGCATGCCAGATTTACAGCCCACCTTTAATAAAGAATCTGTTCCTGTCCCTGGGTGTTGTGGGTGCAGGTATTCTGTACTGCTGGCCTGTGATCCATTGCATTGGATCTGGCCTTCTTGAGCCTCACCAGGAGTACAGGACTTCTGGGGGAGGTTTTTTGTGGTTTGGATCTGTTTTTGCCTTAAGCATATTCTTTTTTTGGCCATTCATGGACTGTGCTTTGCTGGTTTTGCCTTTATTTTAAAATACAGGGCTCTGTTGCTGAGAGACTGGAAATAAACAAGTTTATTTAGGAACCTCTTGCCTTTCTTTTTAGAAATCATACGTATTTCTGTTATCAGCTGGCTCTGCTTCCTTCTGAGCAGAAATTTTCAAGCCAACAGAGAAAGCATCAGTGTTTAACACCTCAGAAAATATTTAGCTAGAGGGTAGATCAAACTCTAGAAGCCTTGCACTTTGTATGAAACGTGTGCATCAAACATCATTAGAAAACATTGCATGTAGGAGGGACAAAAAATTGAGGTGAACTTTCTAACCTTCGCTGCTGGTTTGTTGTTTTCTGGATCTTAGCAATCCCTTAAAACAGAAATTTCTAGTTCAGAAAGGAAGGAGTTGATCTATCCATTCCACATTGAAGCAGAAAACAGGCTCTGCTTCCTTCTCTTGCCCTGTGTGCATCTGGAGCAGCTCGGGGTCTGTCAGGGGTCTGCTCAGGTCACCCCAGACAGATCACAGACAGATCACAGACAGATCACAGTCTGCATTGGTGGTTACAGGTGAATTCCCAGGTGCTGCTGACCTTGAAGTGTGTTCCTGGATTTTGGAAAGGGTAAACAAGCATTCCCCACTGTCTCTGTGGAGCGTTTGTCACCTTTCCTTTCTGCTGCCCCCCTGGTTCCTCTCTTCAGCAGGCTTCATTCAGGTGGGGTTCTTTGCTTTTTTGGAGTCACTTCCTCACCTCTCCTCTCTTGCAGTTTTTCCTGGTCTTTTTTTTAATCTTCCTGATTGTGGAAACAAAACTCAATTCTTTACCCAAAGTTATAATGGAGCTTTCCTCTTCTAAACACAATTTAACAGCTGCCTACGTAACCACTTCATTTTTTTTGACATAAGTGCATTTAATTTGGAGCAGTATGTGTGAAGCATTTAAACTGTTCCCTTCTGCAAGTGCTACTTTGTACAGCACTTATCTATGCTCAGTTTTATTTGAGATGGTGTTGCCTATTTTCCAGTATTTTTGTGGCTTCTATTCTGTTTGGCTTACATAAATCTTCACTAAACTGCTTCACGCCTCTCTTCCATAAATACATAGTCTCTGATGTTTTTGGTTATGGGGAAACAGAAGAGTAAAAAGGGATATGTCTGACTTGTGTAGGCATAAATAGAGATGTACTTTGTGTCTCAGATCCGAGTGGTGTGGTTCTCAGTCCTTTAATTGCACACTGTGCTTGAAGAGTAAAGAATGAGAATCCAGAATGTCCCTCTCCAGGTGATAAATCATTTCAGTTTTAGAAACGTTTGTCTTGTAATTTGGAGATTGTAAAGCCTTCATAAAATGCTAAGGGCTCCATGCAAACAAGCCAAATTGACAGTTTCCCTGGAAAGAACAATTAAAAGGGAGACAGAAGAGCTGGTTAGTACTTGTGGTCTTCAATTCTTGCTGCAGCAATGGGAAAAGAGCCATTGCACTTATTCTGGTCATTGTAGGTCATTGCATTTTTCCAGATCCTTTTCCCAAACCATCAGTGGATTGCTTCTGATTTCCACAGCTTAAACCATGTTACATGTTTTCCAACAAATCCAAGTGCTGCACAGCTTCTGTTCACATGCCTAATGCCTGCCTCTCCTTTGCCCCATGCCAGCAGCACATTTCTGATTCCCATTTTGCCACTGGGCTCTGGCAGGTGTGTAGTTTGGGTGCAGCTGCCAAGGGATCCCTTCTGACAGCATTTCCACTTGTGTAGCTGAAGCTAGTGCTGATTGTGAGCCTGCACTGCTTATTCCAGGCACATCCTCACTCCACTTTCCAGCAGCTCACATTTGCCCACACTGGAACAGGCCAGGCATTCTGCTGCTTTTTTTTTGTGGGTGGATTTTTTTTTTTTTTAGCCAGCACATGCTGCTTAATTCTAAGGCTCTCAGCTGCAGTACAGGGTGGCTTCTTTCTCCCTTCCTAGCTGGTGATGCACAGATCAGTTTCAGACCATTGCCTTGAATTTTTTGCCTCTGTGCACCCTCTTCTTGGTTCAGGCTCCTGAGCAGCCTCCCACCAAGCAGCAGCAGGGAAGTGCTCCCCTCCACTCCCTGAAATGTGATTATTAGGAAGTGCTGTCATTACCCTCAAATGCTGCAGATTGTGAGGAGGGGCTTTGCTGATGTGTGGTGTGTGAGAAGGTGCTGTGCAAACACACAGATCCCAGTGCAGCCTCATGGGCTGCCTTAATCTCTCAGAGAGCACCAAGTCCCAGCAGCAGGAGCAGCTGATGCTTCCAGTATAGAGGATTACAATTTCCCTGAGTTATTGCCCTTGCTTTCATCCTCTCACCTACTTTGTTAGAAAGAGAACCCCCTTGACTTATCCTCTGTGCCCTTTTCTTCCCACCTTTCAGTGTGTGCTCACACAACCAGCCAGCTGCTCTCTGTTGGTCCATCCCATGGTCTTCATTTCTCTTGTCTCTTGCAGAAGCAGCTTTATTTTCAAGGCTTAACTATCCTTTGTGTTTTTTCCCTCTCTTGGGAAGCATTGGCTCATCATGGTGCAGTCTTTGGAAACCATAAACCTTGTATACCCAGATAATTTGTGTTCACACACCAACTGCAGCATTGTATTGTGTGTTTGAGAGGAGAGGTTCAGCTGTCTTACCTGACATTGTTTTCTGAAATTGCAGAAAGGGAATTGGATCAGCATAACATTCCCATGTAGAGAATAGGTGGCATATTATCTGCTGCTTTCACAGCATACTGACTGAATCAAAGGCTCTGGAGTCACTTTATGAATATGGAGTTACAGCTCTCCAGGCTGCTGGGAAGATGGAAGCAATATCACCAGTGCTAGTTTATTTCCCTTGTGTAGTTTTTATTATTAGGGTGAGATTGTGGCCTTAGCTAAATCTGCTCAGTGTGCCCATTGACCTCAGTGTAGCCAGGTTTTCCTTTAATTCTAGATCTGTCAGCTGCAGGATTCCAAGCCCAAAATGAAGATTGGCAAAATTGTGCCTGAGGAGGAAGAGAAATTTCCTGTCCTCTCTTGATGAGATCTGATTAGATTATTGTAAGAAGCACTGTCTGCCTGACCAGCTTTAATTCTTCTTCTTCTTCTTATGGCATAAATGGCTGTTTGAAATCAGGTGCAAGTTCAAGCTCTGATGTTTTCTGTCATGTCAGCTGAGGAGTGAGGCAAGGTGTGTAAAACACCTAGAAGAAACAGGCCTAGAGAAGGCAGTAAGTGACAGTCAGTGTTGTGGGGAAGGCCTGAGGTGCTGCCCCACAGCCCAGCACCATTTCAGCTCTCTGACAGCACGGTATTTTTAGCAGTGTACGTTCTGGTGTGTCATGCCTGGGAACTGTACTCTTGTTTAAAAACAACCAAATATCAGTAGCTGAGTGGAAGCATTCCCTCAGCTAGCACACAGCTATTTTGGGTTTGCTTCTCTTGCATTTACTCTTTGACAGACCCCTGGATGCGATTCTCTGACCTTTAGCTCTGGCTTTCTAATGCTTTTGTTAGCTGTGTTTTACCAATGCATATCACGCTCTTTCCCTCTCCCCTTTCTTCCAGTTGTATAGATAAGGACTGGTAATTGTCTTTATGGAGGTTGTAATGAGTTCTGTCACCACACAAAGCAGCTCACTAATAAAATAAATCAAAGCAGCAACGAATGAATGGAAAGCATGCCTTTAAAATTAGATTTGTACTGCGGGTGCCATACTGTCACTTGCAGTGTGAGGCAACGTTAAAAAGGCACAGAGGTGGCAAAGTACCTTGAAAGGGTCACTGAGCTGTGCTGGTAGGGATTAGGAAGCCTTCCATTGCCTCCATTGCAGCATTGTTTGCAATATTTAAAAGCATGAGCAAGAAAAGAGCAAGTCAAACTGATGTTAGGTTTTATTTATTAAGCAACTCAGTTAAGCAGCTTTTCTGATCGCATTGCATGTGTTGGTGTGATGTTGTCATCTCTGCCTGGAGTCTTGTACCAGCTTGGAGCTCCTGGCCCATCAGTTCTGTCCAGCTTCCCACTCCTGCTGCCTCTCCAGCTCTGCAGCACAAGGACAGCTCTCTCCTCTCCAGCTGTACTGAGCAGGGCTCTGCTGCTCAGCTTACACAGGGACCTCATGTTCCAGAGAACTGGGTTTGTGGTGGCCTGGCTGAAAGCTTTGCTTAGAGACAGGGCAGGTGAGGCATCCTGTGGGCAGGCAGCAAGGAGAACAGGCTGGTGTTTGCAGCCAGGCTTGTGTTACACCAAAATGCAGCTGCTGTGAACCCCTCAGGCTCCTTGCTGCAGGATACAGTGCAGGTTGTTGAGGAGTGTGTGTGTCTGTGCAGCTCAGCTCTGGGCTTCTGCTGCTGCTCCTGAAGGTTTTTATGGTTCCCAGGACTGTTGCAGCCCTTACAGCCTTGCACAAACCATTTCTGTCCTAGAAACACAAACCATGTCCAAATCCTTGTTTTCTCAGCCTGTTAATTTCCCAGCAGTGAAATCACGCTCTGGCCCTTTGCAGCCAAAAGCACAGTCACTGCAGAATAAAAAGCATTTCTAATTCCATAAGAAACTTCACAGAAGCTGAGTGCTAGTTTCGTTTTCATCTCTCAGGACACAGCAGGGACAAAAGGAATGAAATTCTGTAGGAGTGTTTGTCAACTTTCTTCTTGTCTCTCTCACCATAACGACATGTAATTAAGTACCTTGAACTTTAGAAGTTGCCCGTGAAAAATATTTCTCTAACTGAGAGCAACCAACCTCCATTAGGTTATATGCAGTCAGCAAATGACTGTAATTATTAGGGCCAGCAGACAGAGCTGAAACTCCAGAGGACTTTAGTGTCAGAGCTAATAATTATGCAGCAGCCTTGGCCAAATATTTCTCTTCCGAGCTAAGTATTTAATATTGTCGCTGTAGAATATTAATGGAATTGCCTGCTCTGTGTGAAGCTGTTGACTAAGCTCATTGTACAGTGAACTCTGGTGGCTCAAATTAGCCCCAGTGAACAGGGAAACCAAGAGCACTGCACCAAAATCCACGGCCTTTGGGGCACTCCCATGGGATCTGGGGACAAACAGAAGGGCAAAGGCAGTGCCTCCCTTCAGGAGTTCAGAAAGTAATTTCTTTGGCATTCTAAAGGGTACTTTTTCTTTAAGTATTGATTGGATATTTCTGAGAAACACTGAAATGCTTCTTAAATCTAATGAGGTAGATTGGCTGGTTTAGAAAGTGTCTCCTTTTGTTTCACTTGGACAAAATTACTACATCCACACTATAAAGAATAAAAGAAAGTTGTTGCAGAGTGCTGGCACAAAGTGAGATCTTCCCAGATGGGGAAGGAAGCTTTTGGGCCTGCCCTAGACATCAAGGTAGTCATCTCCAACTAGCAGTGTGTTCTAGTGACTTCCTGAGGGCTTTTTTAAAGCTATTTATGTGTTCACCAGGCAGAGATTTCCACTTAATTGTAAGGCTGCAAAAGCAATGAATGAATGTCAGCAATGAAACCATAAAAGAGCAGTGATAACCACGGGAAAAAGTAGCAGTTTCTTCTGATTCCTGGCACTTGAACAGGCTCATGAATTCCCTGGAGCCTTTTGCATAACACATGATCACCTGTACTAGGGAGATGGCCTCCCTTTTACAGCCTTGTTACACAACCCACACCCAGGGGTTTTTATGGCAGCCCAGTTTAACTATTGTGGTTACTATTGCTGTAATAACATATATCAGTTTAAAGGGAGGTGTGTGCTGTTTTCTCATTGCTTGAATTTTTTTTCCTGTTCTTTTCTGTATAGAAGGCTTGTGAGCACTTTTGCTAAATCAAAGCTTGCTGAATGGCTCTAAGCGGGTTGTTATAGGATTTGGGGCTAAGGCAGGGAGGGCAGGGGATTTGGGAAGAGTGTACTTTAATGTAAAAATCTGGGTTAAGTTTTTTTATTACTGGGAAGTCTTTTCTGTTTCATTTTCCTCCACAAAGCCAAGACTGAGTGTGTTTCTCTGCTGTTCCACAGGTATGGATGTGTGGAGGTCGCATGGAGGACATCCCTTGCTCTAGAGTTGGTCATATCTACAGGAAATATGTTCCATACAAGGTTCCCACAGGAGTCAGCCTGGCAAGAGTAAGTGGCAGTGGCATTGCCCACAGCAGGACTCTGACTGCAGCGTGACCGTGCTGCTGTTTACTCTCACCCCACAATGGGAGGCAAATGCAGGGGTTTTGTCTGTAATTTGCACTTGTACAGTGCAAGCTGAGCAGTTTTGCAGTGGTGGATGTGTAGCACAAAGGGAAGAGAGCCCAGGGAGCTGCAGATGTGTGTATGAACAGCTGCCATGCTCCAGACATCAGCCACTGCTGGGTGCTGGGCAGGGACTTTGTGGCTATAAAAACAAGATATGGCTTTATTTGTATAATAACTTCAGTCATTTTATAGCTGTGCTCTCTAAGAGCAGCAGGCTTCAGCGTGGTGATTGGTTTTGGTGATTGAAAGACCTCTCAACTTCAAGCATCACAGACCACTGAATGGGCAAGCTGTAATTTTCCACAGTGGAATGTTCCTTGCCATCTTATTTCTTAATCTAGTGTAGCCCAAAGAAGAAAGAGCTTTCTTCTATCCTGCACTGGGTTTCTCTAGCTAATTTTCAAATTGAGGAGGGATTGCATTGCCCTCTGGTGGGAGAAAAACATCCTAGGAGCAGGAAGGCTGCAAAACTAAAAACCTCAGAGAGGTGCCCTGCTGCTGTGAAATCTTAAGGCTTGTACAGTGTTACAATGCTTTAATGGCATCACCCCAGTTATAGATCTGGATTTATTCCTCAGCCCAGCAATGACCTGTCAGGGCTGCAGAGCACTCTCCTGTCTGTGCCATCTCTTCAGGAGGGAGCTGTACTCCTTTTGATTCATAGTATTTTGATTTCAAGTACTTGGCTCTTGTGAGCTCCCACAGTGCTGGAAGGAGACAGCAGAGAGGCAGGAAAGGCTGATTCTTGGCATCTTAACAGACACCTTGAGGTAAACACCTGCTCCTGTTGTGTGCAGGTTGCACTGGGGGCAGGATCAGCACACTGCTCACTCTTAGCTTCCTAACTTTTTTGGCAGTAAATGATCACTGCTGGACTGAGCAGCTTCAGGTGAGGAGCCACAGCTGCACATGGCACATTACCAAGGGGCACCAAGAATTGCCTGATGTTCCCAGAGAGCAGCCCAAGCTCCAGCACTCTCAAGGGCATTGTGACATGCAGGTTGTCTTGAGTGGGTGGTGTCTGTTGCTGTCTTGGAGGTGCACAGGGGATTAAGCTTTACAGTAATACATGAAATGTGCTGCTGGCACAAGATAAAACCCTTTGCTTCTATTCTGAAGGGTCATCACCTGAAAGCTCTGTATTCCTGAGGTATCTCAAGAGTTTTACCCAAGAAAATGGAAAAATAGTGCTAAGAAAGAGTATTGTGAACTAGAGCTTTTCAGAAGGGAGTACTTCAAATCCCATTCCTAGATGGATATAAAAGATGCAATAAGAAGGATTTAAGAAAGCAGCTTTTTGTCAGAGACCTTTGAATGTCCTGTGGTATTTACCAGCATCATGCTCTGACTACTTTCCTTACAGAAAAAAGGAAAAAAAAAAACAACTTTTGATTAATGTTGTTTTTCTTAGCCACAAGGAACTAGATATAATGGCCAAGTGCCAGGATTCTGTTTTGACCTCAACTGAAAATATCTTTCTAAAAGTCCCTTGGAACTACAGAGTAATAAAAATAATCTTTGTCCTGAAGCTGGAGAGAAAGAGTGGATGTGAATGAAAATCCTTTCTGAGCAAAAACACGCGAGCTGCTCTGAATGCTAATGGTGGTTTGTGCAGCTCTCTCAGGTGGTTTCCCCTCTCACTCTCCCCCCCCAGAACCTGAAGAGGGTGGCTGAGGTGTGGATGGATGAATATGCAGAGTACATTTACCAGCGCAGACCCGAGTACCGGCACCTCTCCGCGGGCGACGTCGCCGCGCAGAAGGAGCTGCGCAACAACCTCAACTGCAAAAGCTTCAAGTGGTTCATGAACGAGGTCGCCTGGGACTTGCCAAAGTTCTACCCACCAGTGGAGCCTCCAGCAGCTGCCTGGGGAGAGGCAAGTTTGTGCTCTGACATCTGCAGTTTGGTTTTTTAAGGCTGCCCATGTGCCTCGGTTGCTGTGAGTAAGGTGCGAGCGAGTGTTTAAAGATCTGCTTGATGTTTCAAAACCCAAAACTCCTCTACCATTGCACTGGCCTGATCAAAGCAGGCAGTTGGGCAGGCAGCTGCTTCTATTAGTGCACAGCTCCAACGAGAATAGAGACTTGGCTTGTTCTGCATGTTGTGTATTTAGCAGAAAGCAGAATATGCCAGAGGGAGGATTAGGGAGAGGCGGCAGCTGAGCAATAGTGAAATCTTGTATTTTCAAAGGGCTTCACAACTGTGTTGAGCTACTCTTGTCCTTAGCTTTCCCATGTGAAAGGCAGGAAAACCAACTGTATTTTTCAAAGTCAGCTGTCTTCTGGGAGTAGAATCACCAGAGGATTGAGGCTGTGAATTGTTACACACAACTCTTGTGGTTGAGTGTTTTGGGTTGCTCAGAGACTCACTGGCAAAGGTATTGGCAAAAGCAGGTGTGATATAAAAGTGAAAGCATGACAAAATTTATTGGTAAGGTTCACTCTACTACTTTCTAGAGGGTTAAAGCACACAGAGAAAAAGCAGACTAAAATCTAAAATCAATCTAAAATTGAAATCAGCCTGTGTGAAGACTGGAGATGGAAAAGCGTAAGGATAAAAAAGAGAAAGGGAGATCCTTCTGTGGAGTCATGAGGTTCAGAGTGGACCCCCTTACTAAACTTAGCTCTGAACTCAACCAACAGGTTTAACAGCATTTAAACTTAACAGCACTTAATCTATAGCTTAAGTTAAACAATTCAACAAAAGCTGCATGTAGAATTTACTACAGCACAAGAGTAACTCACAAATCTAAAGTACTTAAGAATCTAGAAGAGCAGCATTCATTGTACATTTGCTATAGAATATTCACACTGGCACAGACTTAAGAGAGGAGGTACAAGGTACAGACCTGTGAAAAATGGCACTACCAGACAACCCAGCCCACAGTGGGCTCTGCAGTCCTGTCACTGCTGGGTTTTGCTGTGTGCTGGGGGGTACAGCTGGGTCCCATTTTGAGCTCTGTGCTTTCTTCCAGCTGTTACTGACCAGCTCAGACTCATAGTTAAGAGAGGAATCTTAAAAACTACCTTCATATAAATACAGCTGCAATTTGAGACTATTTGAGTTTTCTTTCCTGGTAGGAGTAGGAGATTGAGTGATTAATTCACTATTTCAGAGATTGAGTGATTAATTCACTGTTTCAGAGATTGAGTGATTAATTCACTATTTCAGATCCGCAATGTGGGAACTGGACTGTGTGTGGATACTAAGCATGGAGCCCTGGGATCCCCACTGAGGCTGGAAAACTGTGTGAAGGACAGAGGAGAGGCAGCATGGAACAACGTGCAGGTAACAGCCTGAGAAATCATCAGCCACTAAATCTGGGCAGGGACAGGTTCCAAGGACCAGTGTTGAAGGAAGGAAGGGCATTCAGAGCTGTCAGGTGCACCCCAAGGCTCACATGCTGCTTGTGCTTTGGGACAGGATGTGGCTGGTGCTTGTGGCACAGGGGGGTCTGGAGCCTGGCAGGTTGTGCAGAGCTTTTACCCCTGCTTTGAAGTTCTCAGAGTGAACAAAAGAAATGACAAGAAAACAGTGTGCCAAAACAATAAACCAGTAACAAGGCAGCTGTAATATGTAACAAAGTGAATATTAACTTCAAAGGTTGTGCTGAAAGAAGTGATAGAGGAGCATCATGCATATTAATGAACCTGCAGGAGCATTCAATAACTGTTCACTATCATCCTCCTGACAGGAGGCAAATGCATTATAAACACCCAGCCATTGCTGGGGAGATGAAACCAGCCAGGTTATAGATTCACCCTCTCAACATATGAGGTGCCAGAAACGACAGCTTTATTGTAACAGAAGGGAGGAAAATATTAGTTTGTCTAAACTGTAGCAGCTGAGCTGAGAAAGAATCAAGAAAACAATGCCTCTATTACAGAGCCATGCATAACTCTTCAGGGAATGGCTTCAGTAGTAGGAGACAGAGGGTTGTTGCATATCAATTTGATGCGTGAAAAATAGAAACAAAACCAATTTACTCAGGCACAGTCCAAAACTAAGCCTCTGTTGTGTCAGGAGGATCTTGAAAATTAGTTTTGGCTTATGTTTAGGAAGAGAATGTGGCTTGAACTTCTGAGTAGCATTGAGCCTAAATGATTGTGGTAATTTCTGTCTCAAGAGGGATTTAAAAGACAGCCAAGAACAAAGTAGTTTCTTTGTACAAAAGTTTTTGGCCACACTGCTTCAAATAGCAGCTCCCTGATCGTTACTTGCCTTTCTGAGTGTCCTGTGAGAGATCTCTGGGGAGAACTGCTCCTCCAGCTGCCTCCACAGGAGCCTCCAGAGCAGCCTTTTCCTTAGGGACTGGAAGGGAGGCGTGCTGGCTGGCAGCCCTGCAGAAGCACATGGGCCAGTGCTGCCCTTTCATCAGGACACTGCATTGCCAGGCATAGGTGTGCTCAGTTACTGGAGTCAAAGCTCTTCCTCTGCTCTCTGGAGTCCCTCCTTCATTTCACCTGGCAGTGCTGAGAGTTCATGGCAGGGTCAGTAGAAGGGAGCATCAGGAAGCAACGCCCAAGTGTTTGCCCTTCCTGCTCTCCTGTGGGTGGGGTGGGAAGCTGTGGCTCCTGCTCTCTTGTCCCAGGAGTGTGGGACAATTTCTCAAGGTGACTGCAGGCTGCCTGTGCAGCCTCTGGTGTTCACTGCCAGCGTTAACTCTGAGCTGCTGGAGCTGTCTGACTTTTTTTGCTGGCTGGGAAGGGCTGTAATTGGTCAGCTGCTCACCTAATCCTTGATGTATGTCTGCATTGCAGAGACATCCAGGGCTGCTCTAGTACCCAGGCTGACCAGCATGGCTGGCTGCAGCAGCACAGGCTCATTTCACATGCTGTGTGACAGCTGGTACAGAGTCCCCTGGTCAACAGTCCCTGTCCCCAGACACAGGAGGAGTTTTTCCTCTAGGAGATGCTGTCCTTCCCTTGAAGACATCCCCACCCTGTGGGCACAGGGAACACCATTCTGCCAGTGAAAGTATTATGACCAGCCATTGTGAGGGTCCTGTTTGTCCTGACAGGTTTTCACCTTCAGCTGGAGAGAGGACATCCGTCCAGGGGATCCTCAGCACACCAAGAAGTTTTGTTTTGATGCCATTTCCCACAGCAGCCCTGTGACCCTCTATGACTGTCATGGAATGAAAGGGAACCAGCTCTGGAGATACAGAAAAGTGAGTCTGTGTGTGTGGGTGTATTCTCATCTAAGGTGTCAAATTGCCTGAGGCGCTTACGTTTCCTGAAAATGTCACCACAACGTTTTATTCCTTCTCTTGGTGTAGCTGTAATAAGAGAATCTGCAGACAGCCTGTTGTCATTGTACCATTGGTTAAAAGGAGGTGACTCCCCTGTTTCACTGGTTAGAAAGGTGAGGACCCCAGGGCTCCTGAGCAGGGGACAATCTCTGTGCAGTGTCCCCATAGCTGACAGTGAGGTAGTGCAATGCCCTTGAGTTTGCAGAGAGGTGTTCTGAGAGTTGGTTTGTTCTGAGCACTGCAATGTCCTGCCAAAAGCAGATAAGGATTTATTCATTCTCCTACTAAGCAATGTCATTGTAGGCCACAGGTAAGTAAATTCTTGTCTAAGTGCTCTGTCCTAGTCCTTGCAATCTGCTGGCATGGTGCCCCAGTGGGATGCAGCAGGATTCCAGTGAGAGCCCCTGGGAAGCTTTAGAGAGTCCCAGTGCAGGTGAGGGATTGGGCTGCATTCTCTTGGAAGGGATGGGATTCAACAGCATTCCATTGAGAGCCCCTGGGAAGCTTTAGAGGGTCCCAGTGCAGGTGAGGGATTGGGCTGGAAGGGGTGGGAATGAACCCAGACACTTGTCAACCACTTAAGTATGGAACAACTTCAAATACACCCAAGTGACATAATTGGTTTTTGAGACTTCTTTCTGTTGGTTTTAAAACAACTTTTCTTCTCCACTTAAGCAACCTGACATCAAATTTCTCTCCTCCAGGACAAGACTCTCTACCACCCAGTCAGCAGCAGCTGTATGGACTGCAGTGAGAGCGATCGAAAGATCTTTATGAATAGCTGCAATCCTTCATCTCCAACACAGCAGTGGATATTTGAACACACAAACTCAACTATCCTGGAAAAATTTAACAGAAATCTTGATCTTTAAAAGACTGAGAGAAAATATATATATATTTTACAATTATAGTTTTTACTGGGGAGGGTTACAAAAAAATTTTTTAATACTTTTTTTTAAACACTTAATGAAGGTAAAAGGGAGAATCTCAGGAGAAGGTTAATTAGCAGGCCAGTCTTTATTGTGAAGATGCTGCATCCTTCTCTTCTGGGGATGGTGGAATTTTAAAGGCTTTGCCAGAGCCACTTCTGTGCTGAGACTGAACAGAAACTCTGTTTTTAGAGGAGTCTGAATGTGTTTCAAATGGCGCTTTTTATTTTTTACCTTTTTTGTTTTGTTTTATTTCCCACTGGGGTCTGGTGTTAAATGATTTTGTTATCCAGGACCCTGCAGGACTTTTTGTAGCTGCTATACCACCCACTGAAGCATTCCCACATAGATGCTTTATCTTCCAAACTCCATATAAGTAAAATATTGAAGACAAGATTTAAGCCTCCAAGCAAAAAAAAAAAAAAGCCCATTATTGTAAAATGAAATGTGTATTTTTTTTTGCCCAGAACCAAATATATTTCAAACAGGTTGAGTATTATTACTTTCCAAATCATAGCTCTGATGAAGGAATGAGCTCTAGTGGAAGTGCAGCCAAGTGTTGGGAATATGGCTGTTGTTATTAGCCATGAGGAATCTGAGTTTCTGGTCCATTCACTTTGCAGTCAGTTTGTCACTCACTGTTGAATTTTCAAGGTGAAAGATTAGCAGAGGGTTTTTAAATAATAAGTTCTTACAGGTAAAGACTTTATGCTAAGAGCCTTTGGATATCAGGTTCCAAATTTGCCTCTTATAACCTTTTTAGCACAGACATCTCTAGGATTTCTGAGTTAAATCTACTGCATGAAGACAATTTCCATTCTTCCTTTAAAGCTTTGAAGGCTAAGTTAATTTACAGTTGGTGTGAGCAGATTAATTCAGGATAATAAAGTCAGGGCTGAGATTAGCCATTGGTCTTTATCCATTTGTTCATCAGTCTGTAGTTTCTTGAGTCCTGTGTGGTCAGTGGTGTTCTAGCCTTGTGGAAATGTGCTATTAATCTCTCATTTCCCAGCACCCACACCTCTGTACAGTTTACTGTGACTGCAAATCTGTTTGCTTTAGCAGAGATGTGGGACTGATGGACCCATTTTCCTGGTACCCTCTCTTTTGTGCAGTGAGTGAGCAGTGCAAGGTGTTACCCCTTCTGGTTTGGCTGTGGGGTCTGCCAGACATGAACCAGGATTGTCTCATCCCAGGAGCTGGAATGTACTGACACTAAAGAATGAATGGAGGACCATTGGTTCAAGTCTATCTGAAGCAAGTATTTTTTAAAAATCTGCTTTAAAATGAAGTTGTTGCAAAAACACATTTACTAGTTCCCCTGACTTAGTCTTGTACTGAAGGGAGCAGTGGCATTTTCTGGTAAAAGCTGGGAATGATGATGCAGTGAAGAGGATTCCTTTGGCAGGAATTGCCCAGCTCCTTGGTTTGTCTAGCTGCCCATGCAGGGGTGTTGCAAGAGTAGGTAGCAGGCACCCAGTTCTGGGGTGATGAGGAGGGGACCTCTGTGGGATGCTTGATGAGCATGGTTAGCACATTGCCCCTCCTCAGAGGCACAGGGAAGCTCTGCTCTGGGATGTCTCTCAAGTGAAGGCAAGGAGATGCTTCCCTGGTGTCCCAAAACAAGCAGGGTAGCTCCATCTGCAGAGCTCCAGAAGCAAAAACCCTTTTGTTGCCAATTGTAGGGTTGTGTCCCCTGTTTCAGATGTGTTGGAGGCCATGTAGGGCTGTGCCTGGCAGCTGGGAGCAAACAAGGACACAGCTGTCTGTCCCCAAACTCTCCAGTCTGGTGTATTGTGTAGGACACCCTGAATCTGTCTGTCCCCAACTCTCCAGTCTGGTGTATTGTGTAGGACACCCTGAATCTGTCTGTTCCCAAACTCTCCAGTCTGGTGTATTGTGTAGGACACCCTGAATCTGTCTGTCCCCAAACTCTCCAGTCTGGTGTATTGTGTGGGACACCCTGAATCTGTCTGTCCCCAAACTCTCCAGTCTGGTGTATTGTGTAGGACATGCTGAATCTGTCTGTCCCCAGACTCTCCAGTCTGCTGTATTGTGTAGGACATGCTGAATCTGTCTGTCCCCAACTCTCCAGTCTGGTGTATTGTGTAGGACATGCTGAATCTGTCTGTCCCCAACTCTCCAGTCTGGTGTATTGTGTAGGACATGCTGAATCTGTCTGTCCCCAGACTCTCCAGTCTGGTGTATTGTGTAGGACATGCTGAATCTGTCTGTCCCCAGACTCTCCAGTCTGGTGTATTGTGTAGGACATGCTGAATCTGTCTGTCCCCAACTCTCCAGTCTGCTGTATTGTGTAGGACACCCTGAATCTGTCTGTCCCCAACTCTCCAGTCTGGTGTATTGTGTAGGACATGCTGAATCTGTCTGTCCCCAGACTCTCCAGTCTGGTGTATTGTGTAGGAGGCTCAGAATCATTTCCACCTCTCTCATTCACACAGCTGAGGCCATGTCTGACCTTTCCTGCCAACTTAGCTGGTCCATGGAGGAACAGGAAACATGGGCACTGCATTGCAGCTGGGACCAGGCTTTGCAAATTTTGGTATCTAAGATTTTGGGAGTGAAGAAAGAAAAAGCAGCCCTAGACTTCCCTTGTGACAGTTCTGCAGCAGTATTGGATGGAAGTGAGATTAGCTTCAAGCAGAGTTGACATCTTATGTTCTCAGTTACTACAGTATGTCTGTCATTACATCCCTTTGCATTTCTGTGGGAGCCTGAGTCACCTTCCAGCACTTTGTGTCTGACTGCTGCTTTCCCTAAGTTATTAATGCTCTCATTAGCAGAGTAGTGCTGACTGTGGAGCCACTAGATGGCCTGACTAGATGTCTTTATGAATGTTTTAATGCCTGTGGAAGAAGAAGCTGTTTGTCCATGAACAGTGCTAGTTTTTTATAACTGGGACACAATCAGCATATTCTATAAATGGACTGTAGGTTGTTCTGCTTGCAGGTTGCAGCTTTGTGTCTCTCAGTTTTCTAATGAGAGGATTAGCTTCTGTTTCTAAACTGCATGGCTTGCTTTGTACTTGGGCTCACCTTGTGAAGGGAGCCCTTGCTTGGCTCACTGGATTCTTGCTTCAGAGAGAGCTGCAGCAATGAACAGATCTTTTACCACTTGGTAATCTTAATTTGGAGAGAAAGGTCAGCTCTTAGCAGCTTGCACCAACAGATTAGGCAATAGTTGAGGCAATTCCTATTTGACAACCACCACCACCAGTACACAGAAACCAGAGATTTAGTGTCAGTGCTTGCAGCAGGTCCATCTCAGTGTGGTTGATCTCTTTTCTGAAGGTTTGGGATCTGAATGTGGCAAGAGCCTCACAAATTCTGTATGCTTCTGACTAGCTCACTGGGCTTTGAGCTATTAATTATCAGTTACACTTTTCAGTACCCCAGAGGCTTTGTTGACTAATGCAAAGACTTAATATTAGCCAACCATCCACTGATTGAGAAATATAAGCTGTATTTTATCATCTGCATCTGTAACTGAGCCTTTGCAGGGCAATCTCGTTAATTATTCTAATTACTTTTGGTTATTTGTAAGCAAAATCACTAAAGCATGAGTACATAATCAAATCTTCACATCTGCATGCAAGTCAAGACTGGAGATTAAATACTGATGATTATCTAATGCCAAATACATGTTTTCATATTTTCCCCCCAAAGGTATTGAAATACCCCTCTCTTTGTGGCTGCATAAGTTTTGCTGCTTTTAAGTATCAGAATCCCTGACTACAGGGTGTGTGTTATGTTGCATAAAAATACTTTGATTTGCTCTTGAAGCTGTTGTTGATCTATACTGGTGCTAATCTCTAAGGCCTACAGACAGTAAATAGGTTTGGGGCTCTCATATGTGCAAGGTGTCTTTTCTCATACCTAGGAAATTAATTATCTTTTTCAAACCACAATAGAAGAAAGTGTGAGCCTTCCTGAAAGGGGAATACAGCATCATTAAAATAAAGATGTGCCTTTTTAAATGTAAATGTACAGCAAATGCTTAAACTTGAACCATTTCCTAGTGCCTTGCTGGACAAGAGAGGAGAGGGGAAGGGGTTGGGGGATAAGGATGTAAGAGAAAGCTTGACTCCTGCAGGGTTTGTGTGGGGGATTTTTTTTTAAATGTCTGATTTTCAGTGCAAAATTTGTGTGAACAACAGTAATTCAGAAGCTCCTGGGCTCCCTCTGTTAAATCGATGTGGTTAATGACTCTGGGGAGGTTTGTCACTCCTAATAGGAAGACTTGGAAAGGTTGGCAGCTTCCTCTGGGTGTGCTCTAGCAGCTGAAGCTGTACTGGAAGATGTCTTGGTGAGCTGCTGGATGTTTCACCTCATGGTGATGGCTCGTGATTTCACGGGCATGCAGGATCCTGCATTTTATTTTCTAAGTATGCAAATCACAAAAAGTCCCAAAAGCATATAAAATCTGTAGCAGAAGTGTCTTTCAGAAGAAATTGATGCCTTCCATCACTGGGAAACTTTTTCCAGAGTGTATTAAAATCTCTAATACAGAAGTAGCAAGAAAGCAATTTCTCAGCCTAACTTTCCTCATGGCTGGTTTTACAGCAGTCTGTGCACAGGGCTTTGCTTTCCTTCACTACTGGAGTGTTCCAGTCAGCAAACTTTCCTTCTCCCTGAGAGTCAAACAGGCAGCAGCAGCATTGCAGGAGCACAGTGCTCTGGGGCTGTGGCAGCAGCTCTGCTGGCTCACATCACCCAGGGGAGACATCTCCTAACAGTCACACTGGGCAAGCATGGAACTGCCAGGTGAAAAGGGAGAAGATTTTATTCTAAATTGTCTTTCAGGATACAGACAGGGACTTGGAATTGATTGGAGAGAACAGCCAGCCTCTGGCAGTCAGCCTGTCACGCTTGCAGTCAGAAGAGCCCTGGTAAAGCCAAGTGTGAAGCAGCCCAAGTGGTGCAGGTGTACCCTCATCCCACAGCCACTTCCAGCTGCTGGGGCTCCTGGGTGCTGGGTGGGTTCACAGGTTACACAGCAAAGGGGAGCTGGCTGGTGAGTCAGGAGCACTGGGCCCTGCTCCCAGCTGCCATGGCCTGTTACTTACCTTGAGCAAGGAAAGTCTGTGTGCTGCAATTCCCAGCTTGTGTAGGATTCACCTTTAAGTGCTTTATTTTCTGACCTAATGAGTGTTGAGTCCAGATTTTAAAACAAGCTGCAAATCCTCACCTGGTTCAAGTGGAGAGAGATGTGGTGGGTGGAGAATGGGAAATGAGATCTGAAATTGCCATCAGCATTCAACACAGACTCATCAATTCATTTCATATTCCTCATTAACCAGTCAGATTGATTTATTCACATTATAAATTTGAAGTGTAACCAAAATAAGCTCACCTCCTGCTCTGATTTCTACTTTGTAGTGGCCTGCTTTAGCTTGGAGAA